CGACAGTGGAGAGGAAAAACTCCCTTTGAACAGGATGAAACCTCCAGCAGCTTCCTTCACGCCCCTCTCTAACCACCTGTCTTCTTTGTCCAAAATGTGAACATTCTGGTCCTCCAAAGAATGTCCTTTGTCCATCCGGTATAGATGTACCTCAGAGTCTTGTCCAGAGGAGGGCGCTGTTCTGTGTTGGGCCATGCGTCTGTGGAGAGGTTGTTTGGTTTTTCCAATATAAAGATCGGAGCATTCCTCACTGCACTGACCTGCAGACACCACTCTGCTCAGATTCCTACATGTCCCGCCCCAAAAATACACTGCTGGCATCTCATTGGTCCGACTTGGTGGTTGTTACAAGACGGACGTATTAGTGGAAGTCTTTCAAGATGGATTTGTTTTGAGACTGAAAACTCAGATCTCGCGACGATCCAGCTTGTAGCGGAAACTTATTATTGTCCTGCTTGATGAGAGAAAGGCAGTATTGGAAAATAAATACAGGAAATCACATTGTAGGATTTTCAAGAGTTGGTCAGTAAAATATGGTGCTAAATAAGTATTTGGTCAATAAGAAAAACTCAATACGCGATGTTTTGATTTTAGAAAACATCTACAGTCAGCTGGACGAGGAGAGCAGCGAGTCGTCCAATCAGAGCGCGGCGCTGAACAGCGAGCGGCCGTGGCCACGCCCCAAGGTCTTCATCTGCTACTCCAACAGAGACGGCTCCAAACACACCAGTGTCATCCAGAGCTTTGCCTACTTCCTGCAGGACTTCTGTGGCTGCGAGGTGAGGCCCTGAAAACGTGTGAAATGACCCAGAGAGGTGGAGATGCTGTTTACTGAGCTCTGCTCTGCTGGATGCAGGTGGTGCTGGACCTGTGGGAACATCTGGAGATGTGCAAGGAGGGTCAGATGTCGTGGCTGAGCCGACAGCTGGATGAAGCAAACCTCATCATCACCGTCTGTTCTAAAGGCCTCCGGTACCGCCCCCTTTATGGCTCTCTGTGTCTGAAATGTATTTGGGAGAAAACTGGCTGAATTTAAAGGGATTGAATTTTGTTCCATTAATGTTGCAGCTAAGAACATATTTTGCTGAAATTTATTTTACCACTTAGTAAGATATTATTCTTTTTATATTTTCTTTTATGTGCTTTATATATTACTCAAATTTTTTTTATATATATCTGTAGTGAGGAGACTTAGATAAAAGTTAGTCATTTTGTATGCACAGTGTACATAAAATGAAATGTTGTTGCATACAGCTTACAACAGTGTAATGATACTGCAGTTAGACTGAGATAAGATTACAATCTAACATGCAGCAGTGATCAGAATGTAACAATATAGGAGAAAAAAAGAAAACAATTTACTGAATATTTTCATATGAATGCCTTTTTGCACCATTATTTACAGTGCAAAATAATAGGGTGCTTTTAAGACAACATTTAGTTGTGTCTTATTTAAAAGGATTATAAAATTCGGCAATGTTGGTGGTGCAAAATAATGATGCATGTGTGATGCAGAGTTCAGTTTAGAATTCAACAGTCTGATGTCAGCGTGGAAAAAGCTCTTGCAGAAAATGCTGGACATGCAGCTGATGCTGCGAAGCCTCGTTTCAGAGTGAAGCGATGATGCATTTTTATTTAAGAAGAATCTAATTCATAAAGCTAAATCTGAGAAAGAGTTTTTCAAAGTTCCATTTCTGAATTACATTTTCTTTTTCTATTGTTTGCATTTCGAAAAAATTGCTTTTAACAATTATGGAACAAAATTCCCTCCATAAATCTCAGACGTTTTCCCCTGCAGTTCCACTTCTGGCCACCAGATGCTGCTAAAACACTGTTGGATTTAAGTAAATGACGTGGTTTCTAATAGGATCTTTAATCAATCTCATTTTTGGATATTCAGCAAAATGAACTCTAAAATAAACAAGTTGGCCAACTTGTTTATTTTAGTGTTTGTTGTTAGAAGAAAAGTGAGACAATTTGCCAAAAGGAATTAAATTATTTACATTTAATGTGTATAATATCCAAGTATCATATTTTAAGGGTAAGAGTACTAATTTTATTAGCAAATCACCTCATTAAATTCTTGAAATTAAAGATCAGTTTTTGAGGTTTTAAGCTATAAAAACCATAATGATGTCATATTTCTCACATCCCGCTAACTTCTGCTCTTTGAACCGCATCATCCCAGACATCACGTTGAAAAGAAGAGTCGCAAAGGGAAGACGCCGGCTGGTCGCTGTGGTAACAGCAGCTCCCCCGCTGGCGGGTCTCACCGTGATCTGTTCGTGGTGGCCGTGGCCATGATAGCGGAGAAGCTGCGGATGGCGAAGCAGAGCCAGGACGGCGGCGGTCAGGAGCTGAGCCGCTTCTTGGCCGTGTACTTTGACTACTCCACCGAAAGCGATGTCCCCACCGCGCTGAGTGTCGCTCCCAGGTAGAAACGCAGCTGATGGCGGCGGCGGGTTGGCCCGGTGGACGGGAGCGCTCCTAACAGGCTGTTTGGTTTCCTGTGGTTTAGGCTGAAGCTCATGGATCAGCTGCCGCAGCTCTACAGTCGCCTCCGTTCCAGTCAGGCCGCCGTGGCCGATCCGGAGCAGCCGCCGCTCAACATCTCCAGGAGGAACTACTTCAGGAGCAAATCTGGACGCTCGCTCTACGTGTCCATCTGCAACATGCACCAGCACATCAGCCAGAACCAGGACTGGTTTGAAAAGCAGCTGTCTCCTGCAGCCGCGCCTCCCTCAGACTCCTCCTCCAAAGAGGCTCCGCCTCCTGCCATCCCGGGTCCGAGTTCTCCTCCAGAACCCACCTGCTCCGCGGGGCTTCAGCCGGAGCGGCGCTTCGACTCGGGCTTGGTGCTGAACGAGGTGCTGATCAGGACGCCGTCGCTGGAGGAAGTGGATGCAGTGGCGAGGAGGAACGTGCTCCTGCTGGCCCCTGGTTCCGGTCCGGGTCGTAGTCCCAGTCCAGAACTCCCACACTGCTCTACATCCATCCCAGGATCCACGCCAAGGTGGAGACGAGCGTCTGGTTTGACATTTTCCCGCCGTTCAGTTCAGACCTTCATCAGTTCAGCTCCTTTTCTTCTTCTCGGCAGATTGTCCATCGGAGCATCCGGAGAGTCTTCCTCGGCTCCCTGTGTCCTTCAGGAGGAGGCGTGTCCTGCGTCCGGCCACACCGAGGACGACGGCTGCACTGGTCCGGAGGTCCCTCCTCCTCGCGATTCTGGGATATACGATTCGTCCGTCCCGTCGTCGGAGCTGTCCATACCTCTGATGGAGGGGCTGTCGCAAGACCAGATGGACTCCGCCTCCTTGGCAGACAGCGAATCGTCTTCATCTGGACTCGGTAACGCCGCCGCACTCTACATCTTTACAGCATTATAACCACAGAAATGTTATCGAATAAGTGGAAAAACAAGAAAATAAGACAAACACAATCTATAAACAATCCTCACACTGAGAAATCTGAAAAGTGTGGTGTGTGTTTGCGGCTTAAGCCCAGAGTCAGTGGGTCCAGAAGCCTGAGGCTGTGGCTGCAGGTTTAGGTTCACAGTCAGATCACCTGGAAAATGCCTTTAAAGGTCGGTTTCTACGATTTTTAGGTTTATACTTTGAATAGGCCATCCTAACGCCTGAACGTCAGCGCTTCCTTTGACGCTCCGGCTGTTTGTGCGTCGTTGTCCAGCTGCAAGTCTCAGGTCCATCTGCAGCTTCGAACGTCCTCCTGGATTTACCTCCGTTCTTCTGGCGCTGCAGGCTGAATCCTCGCAGTATTTATCTGCTCACAAACGCAGCAGGATCTGTCCCATCCCACCGTTTGAGAAGCCACCCAGCACAGGTCGGCCAATCAATAAAGTATTCAGTCAGCCGCTGAATGTGGAAACTCTCCCAGTTAGAAAATTGAGAGAAGTTTGTAGTTTTCATCATAGGTTCACAAATAAAATATAAATACAGGAAATCACATTGTAGGATTTTGAAATAACTTATTAGCAAATTGTGGAAAATAAGTATTTGCTGATCTAGAAAAAAGTAAGATGTCTGCCCCTCAGTAGCTTCTCCTTCAACGAGCTCCTCTGTCCTCCACTTGTTTTCTCCATCAGGGGCTCCTCAGCCTCAAACCGCCGTACTCCAAACTCAACCACGGAAAAGACAGCTGGACCGGAACCAGAGTAAACCTACAACAGATCAACTGTAGGATTTATTGGAAGAAAATGGAAGACCAGCAGTAGCATCAGTAATATCCCTCCATCTGGAGCTAGGGGGCAGGAGTTAGTAAATAGGGATAGGATTTAGGAGGTAGGATTTATACGCAGAAACCAGGTGGTCTGCATGAGTGTCACAGTTAACGCAGATATGCCCCGCCCCTTCTGAAGACCCTCTGCTGCTCCTCTCCAAAATTGTAGGTGACCGCAGACAGGAGGCCTCTGATTGGTTAGTTCTATGTCCGCTCTACTCTATGCGTATTTCCTGTTTGGTTCCTTACCGGCTTGTTCTGTTTGTCTGACCGCCGTTGTGGAAAACGATTGAGCAGCTAGCAGAGCGAGGTGCGCGAGAACGCTGGGACCCTGTTTCCACCTGGATCCCCGCTCTTTTTGGCCCTCATGTCCCTCCGTTGTCTCACAAACTTGCCCCCACTTCCTGACCGCCTCGGCCGTATCTAGACCCGCAGCTAGTTCCTGATTGGCCCTCTCAACGTTGTGGCGTGGAATAAGATAGCGCAGACCTTGCTTCAATATTGGACATAAATAAAAAAATATCTGCAACAACCTCACTGAGACACACTGCTGCAGGAGGATAACCAGTCCTTAAGGAGCTAAGAGGTAGGATGTAGGATTTAGCAGGTAGGAGGTAGAATTTAGCAGGTAGGAGGTAGGATTTAGCAGGTAGGAGGTAGGATTTAGCGGGTAGGAGGTAGGATTTAGCAGGTAGGAGGTAGAATTTAGCAGGTAGGAGGTAGGATTTAGCGGGTAGGAGGTAGGATTTAGATGGTAGGAGGTAGGATTTAACAGGTAGGAGGTAGGATGTGGGTAGAGTAGCTCTGAGCTACGTTTTGATGTATTAGAATGCTAGTGAGACAGGTAAAGCCCAGCGTACACTGTGCAATTTACGGTGCGAGAATCTTTCGATCGGGCCGACTTTCAGCCTGATCGTGTGTCATGAGTCGTGTAGTGAACAGGGGGTAACGAGGGGCGATCAGCCTCTCATGATCACCTCCTGATCAGGAACCGTAAGGTCGGGAGAAAATCAAACATGTTTGATTTTTCCCGGCCGTCGTGGGCAAATCTCTCAGTGGGCAAACAAGGATTCTTCTTCTTCTTCTTCCTCTCAGATGTAAACCCAGCAGCATGGCGGGGGACAATGAGTGAAATGGAGTTCTTTCTGTCAAACAGACAGACCGTAGTAGCCACGTTAGCTCAGCCATGTCTTTCTCCAAATACGTCGTCTCCTTTTCTTTTTAGGGCTTTCAGCACTAAATTGCCCAAATATCCAAGGCAGCGCGTTTCACTTTAGTGAGCTTCATGTTCCTCTTCTACTGGTTTGGCTTCCAGATAGACGAGTCCGAGTAGCGCCATCTCACTGCAGAGCTGAGTCCCACCTGGTTTTTAGATGTAGAGTGTGAGCAGGTAGATCGCATCAGAGCGTCGGATCGAACATAAATCGTGAGCTGTGAACTCACACTGTACGACTAAACCCCGCAATTAGTCGCACAGTGTGAGCAGTAGCTGCGTGTAACAATTGAAAAAAATCGCACAGTGTACGCCTGGCTTTAGCCATGTGGGTGACGTTTTTCAGACCCGTCTCTAGGTTACAGGACACCAGCCTTTGAGGATGACAGTTTACGACCACATCATGCTAATTGGCTGTCTTCTGAGCTTCCATGTTTGCTCTGAATTTGATTAACGTTTATCTGATCATTGGGGACTGATTACAGATCTATGAAACTCCTTTCAGATTTCTATAACTTTATCAAAGCGTTTGTCTTCCTTTAGTTTTAGATTTGAATATTTTCTGATATCTTTCAGTGATTTTCCAACAGCCGTCTCTGTTAACGCTAAGGTGTCGTCTCTGTTAAAGGTGACGAAGAGCTGCCGACGGTGGTGTCGCTTCACTGCAGCGCCGCCAGCAAAGCTCAGCTGCACCACCATCACCACCTGGAGCACAGCGACGCACACGCAGCTTCGTTGTAGGAGATGCTGCCGGCCGCTGGGGGAACGGGAGCAGAAGAAGTGACTCTCAGGTGCTGTGATGGATGTGGAGGTGGACCGGAAGGACTTGAAGGGCCCCGAGGGGCTGAAGTCAGCAGGAAGCTGCTGGTAGATGGTCAGTAGTGGGAGGTGGGAGCCCAGAACACAAACATCTGTGCCGTCATGGTCGCACCCCCACCCACTGATCTCACCGATTCCTGAGGGGGCGGTTTGAACACAGCATCCCGAACACCCGCCTCCAGGAAAGATCTGCAGGCGCTCCAGCCAATCAGAGACATTGATGCTGAAGCACCTGTGGATGAAGGTGATGGAGAAACTCGTCAGCAACACGCAGCAGGTGCCTCAACATGAAGATGCATCAGTTTACAACGCAACAGAACTGTCTGATGTTCATCTGAACGCCGGCGACTGAAAACCGCTAAACTCTAAATATTTGGCCTTTAACTTTTAAATGGGTGCTAATTTAGATCTAAAGCGCCATCAGAGAATTGTCATAACTGAGATCTGACTGGAATGAAAGCAGCGGGTGTGAGAGCGGGGCAGGACCTGCTAATGTGATATACTATAAATAGCGTTTTTTTATTCTTTGCTCAGATTTGTGAATAGATATTGTTTCTACATTTTTGTATCCTGGTTCTGTTTTATTTCTAATGTAGCTACATCATTCAGCCTGTTTAGGCTCTCTGTGCTTCACATGGACGTATGGAGTAAGATAGCTGCCGATAAAATAAAAAAAGCTGAATAAATGTAGGATTTTTATTTGTTCCCTGTTGGCTCATATGTGACACACAAAGTTTTATCTGTGAGAATAAAAGTTTTCAACTTTACAAAAATAGAATTATGAATCAAGAATCTGAGTGTTAATCAGAGGTTTTCACTAAAATTCATTTTCAATTCTATTCAGTTTATTTCTATAGCTCCAATTCACAACACGTCATCTCAGGTCACTTTCCAGTTCACCAGATCATCCAGTCACATTGATTCAAAGTTTTCTATCTAAGGAAAACCAGCTGATTGCAT